AGAGGTCGCGTTTCTTCTCCTGGGCTTCGGCAGCAGCCCAACCGGTGCCTTTCCTCGCGCGAGGGTCGCGGGAGGAGATGGGGTCGGTGATGGTAACATCGCAGACCCAGACCTGTCCCGAGTCGGGGTGGCGCAGCGTGATGTCTGCTCGCCGTTGGGAGGTCTCGGGGAGGTATAGCGTGGATTCTTTGCAGGCGATCCAGCCGGCCTCCCTGGCTAGGCGCATGCCTAGGTTCACGAGGCCGTCGTGGGTCCGCTTGGGTCCCCCTCCCAAGGTACACCGCAGGAGGTGGTTGGGGAGGCGGGGGTCTGTCAGCTCCTTTCTGCCCCTGCAGTTGCATCGGCCGGGAATGGAGTGTTGCAGTCCCATGCGAAACGCCAGGGCGGTGGCGAAGTGCCCCGGGCTGAGGCTGAGGTCTGGCGTGAATGGGATGGCCGCCAGCCAATCACCCGCACCCGGGCCGAGGAGGGACAAGAGCCGCTGCGTGTGGCCGAGAAGGGGGTTGAGGGTGAGATCCCTTGTCTCGGCCACCAGCCGGCGATGCCGCTCACCTTGGACCTCGAGGGCCAGGGCGTGTTGGAGCTTGCTGGCCGGCTCGTTGCTCGGCCACAAGTTGAGGATTTGTTTTGCGGGGTCGGGCAGTTGAGCCTCTAGGCGGCTGAGGAGGGCGTGGAGGGGGTGTGACGTGGAGTAGGGGGGAGAGAGGAGGGGGCGGAGGAGGGCCAGGGGTGAGAGTGGCGCGAGGTGGAGGGAGGCGAGGAGGCTGGCTGCCGCTGTTGTTGAGGCGAGGTAACTGTACCCGCCTTCAGCGAGGGGGTCCGTGAGCCCGAGTCCCCCTATGGTTATGGGCAGGGTTGCCTGTCGCCATAGAAGGCCTTTCTCTGCTGCTTGCCTGGGTTCCTGGAGGCCGCAGGATGCCAAGATGGTGGTGAGCAGGCGCTGTCCCCATGCTGTCCATTCAGCGTCGGGCAGGAGGTCCGGGGGTGTGGAACGCAGCAGGAAGGCTGCCTTGCGCCCTACACACCTGGTCAGGAGGAGGAGTGCCAGCTGTGGGTGGAGTTGCTGGACCAAGGGGAGGGTGGCGGCCGTTTTATCCAGCGCTTCGCGAAGGAAGGCCGCGCAGCCTGCCTGGTTTCCCACCGGGCTCCCAAGGATTCGGAGAGCCCCCGTCACGAGCGGTACCCCCTCGGGCGCGTGTTGGAGGGCGGTCTCGCTTGTGGACCAGGCCCCGCACTTGGCGAGGTTGCACGCCAGGCTTGCTGCTGCGATGGCGTTGGTGAAATGGTAGAATGCTGCCTCGCATTCTTCGGGTGGCCCCATGAGGGTCACATCGTCGGCGTAGGCCAGGGTGAGTACTTGAGGGTAGGCCTCTGCTGTGGCCACGAGGGCAGGGTGTAGGGTGATTGCGAATAGCAGTGGTCCCAAGGGGTCCCCCTGCCTTACTCCTCGCTCGCTGAGTAGCGGGGGGGAGCTGAACTCGCGGTCCAGGAACAGCGGCGCTGGGCATCCGTAGGTGGTGAGTACGAGTGGGAGGAGCCCCGCGAGCGGGCTATTCCGCAGGGCCTCGATCATGGCTGCGCGTTCCGCGGAGTTGAACGCGTTTGCCATGTCGACTTGGAGGACGAGGTCCCCCGGGTTCGACTGGAGATGCGTGCGGGAGGTGTGGATCGCAACCTCCGTGCCGCCGGGGACGCACACGCCGAACTGCAACGGCGTGAGGTAGGCTGCCGCCGTCGAGGAGGTGAGCGTGATTGCCGCCTTGTTGACGACGCGTAGTAGGCATTCGCCCACGGCTATCGGGCGGACGCCGCCTCCTGGTTTTTTGAATGCCAGGAGTCGTGAGGAGGTGAGGAGTGATGTCGCCTCCTCGGGCATGTTTCCAGCGAGCACTGTGTTTGTGAGTGCTGTTAGGTGGCCCATGATGTTTGCGTTTGTCAGGCCGCTTCCCTCAGATGTTCGAACGTGGTGCCTGACGGACCCGCCCCATCTCCGTTTGGGCAGTGTCGAAGTACCACCCGTAGCTGCGTGACTGATATCTGCGGTAGTGGGCTTGCGGTCTGCGCCAAGGGTCCTCTGGTTGGGGGCTGTTTACGTAGGGCCCATGCGGGTAGGGCGCGTTCAGCCGGGGGGTGTTTCGCCCTGAGTGCAGCGAGCGTTTCGCTTGTCGGTTCGCAAACGGGGGTGGACTCCAGCGCCTGGAGTGCTTTGCGTAGGTTACCCCGTTTCACCAGTGTTTCCGCCCTGGCGAGCCTGCCTTTGACGTCGGTTGCGTGTCGTGGGGCTGGGGGCAGCTGTGACGAGGCCACTGCCTCTTCGTAGAGCTCGCGCCACTCGCCTGTCGCAAACCGGCGTAACCGGTGTAACATGCGTTTGACGTCTGGTGCTCTGGTGGATTGTGTGGCCAGTGTTAGCCGAGGCAGAAACATGAGCAGGCGCCATCCTGGCACCGAGTCTCGGTTTGCTGCCAGGTGGAGCAGCGGCGTCAGAAGAGCCGACGCGAAGGCTGTCAGTATTTCGCGGGGGAGTCGCCGCGCCAGTGGTGGCAGGCGACTGTCGCGAAGCTTGTCCAGGTCCCAGCTGGCCACGACCTCGAAGAGTTCGGTTTTGTTCGCGAGTGCCAGAGGGGACATTACTGTCCGAGCTGGCGTCGACCGGCGGGAGATTGCCGAGCCGCGCCGGGTGTTGGAAAAAGCGGCTCGGTTCAGCCGAATGCCATCCCGCCTGTCTGCGCCTCGGGGTGGGGTTTCTTCCACTTCCGAATCTCCCCTCTCCGGTACGCCTTCCTCGAATACCCCCATTTCGGGGGTATAAGTGGGGTCATTTCCGTCAATCAAATCATCGTCTGCTCGCTCCCTCCTTTCGAAGCCCCCGTCTGCGTTTCTCGTAGCAGGTGCACGTGTCGGTGTGACTGCGTCTCCCCCTTGGGCATTCTGTGCTGCCTCCTCGTTGCCTCTGTGGATCGAGTTTCCACCTTCGGTGCCATCGTTGTCGCTGTTTACAGTGGCCGTCGGAGCCTTCGCGTCCGCTCCGTTAAGTTGCCGCTGGGCGGCTTGCTGGAGGCGCGCCGCTGTCGCGCGGAAGCTGCGGCGCCCGCCCAAAACCGGTCCGTTGCGGCCCCCCCTACGTCCTCCGCCTCGCCCCCGGCCTAGCCTCCTGCCGCGCTGGTTCGGCGCTTCAGGTGTTCTCTCGCGTCGTTGCCCCCTTCCGCTCGCGGTGGTGCGTCCCGTCGTCGTATCGTCGCCGCGGGGCGATGACGCAGGGGATGCTTCTGTCCCCTTTGCGCCGTCCGCAGAGGGAGGGGGACGGTTCCCCGTCGCCGTTGGGCACGTCCTCCGGCGTGCCGTCGGCGTTGTCGCCGACCTCTTCACTGCGCTACGAGCTTCGCGCGCAGGGGTTGCAGGTTGCCGCCCTGGCGCGGGCGATATTGCTGCTGCAGCCCCCGTCCCTGCTGCAACCGCCGGCGGCTGTCCCTTCGCCGCTCCTGGGGTCCCCTCCGGCGGGCGCGCGTATGGCATCGCCCACGGGTCGGTCGCCTCTCTCTCCTGGCGGTCCTCCGCCCCTATTTCCCTCGCTACCCGTGTCGTCGCCACCCCCTTTCCCGCCTGCTCCGTCGTTGCCTCCTCCTCCGCCTCCTCCTCCGCCCTCGTCCCCCCCGCCTCGGCCTGCGCCTCCTCCGCCGCCGCAAGTGGCACCACCAGCCGCCGGCGCTTGCGAGGGGGCAGCGGGGTGTGGTCGGCCTCCGGCCTCTCCGCCCTCGCCTGCGCGTCCCCCAAAGCGGCTCCGTCATGGCGGCCAGGGTGGGTCACCCGTCCCGTCAAGCACGCCTCCCCAGCACGTAAACGAAGGGTCCCTGGAGTGGCGCCCGCCCGTTCGACAGCGGCGTCGCCGAGCCGTCCGAGCCAGGCGTGCGGTGCGCCGGGCCCGCATTCGCAGCGTCGCTCGGAGTCGTCGCGAAGCGGGGGGTGCTCTCGCCCGCGGCCCGCAGTAGTGCCGTATTCTCCGGTGGAGGCGATGGCCGGGGTCGTCGCTTGTATTGGAGCTGTGGCGGAGGTGCTGGATTGCCTCCGCCCCCCCCCCGTTGCAACCCCCTCCGCGGAAACCGGAGGCTGGGCGTCCGTGGCGGCCTGCGATGTCCCGCCGCCAGCAGCGACGCGCCATGGAGGCGGCGTCGCTGCTCCTCTGGCGGCTTGCTTACGGAATGCCGCCAGGAGTAGAGGCGGGGGAGCTCGATCCTGCTCCTCGCGCGTCGATGAATTGAATCGGTCGCTTGTGGCGAATCAGCGCCCGGCGACTCTCTCTCTCTCTCTCTCTCTCTCTCTCTCTCTCTCTCTCTCTCTCTCTCTCTCACTCTCTCTCTCTCTCTCTCTCTCTCTCTCTCTCTCTCTCTCTCTCTCTCTCTCTCTCTCTCTCTCTCTCTCTCTCTCTCTCTCTCTCTCTCTCTCTCTCTCTCTCTCTCTCTCTCTCTCTCTCTCTCTCTCTCTCTCCTCTCTCTCTCTCTCTCTCTCTCTCTCTCTCTCTCTCTCTCTCTCTCTCTCTCTCTCTCTCTCTCTCTCTCTCTCTCTCTCTCTCTCTCTCTCTCTCTCTCTCTCTCTCTCTCTCTCTCTCTCTCGCTCTCTCTCTCGCTCTCCCGAGCGCCGCTTCCAGGGCCGTGAATCAACTCAAGAAGGAACTAAATAATCCGGACTAAGATGTGAGAAGGAGCCTTATATACCATGACTCTCTCTCTCTCTCTCTCTCTCTCTCTCTCTCTCTCTCTCTCTCTCTCTCTCTCTCTCTCTTTCTCTCTCTCTCTCTCTCTCTCTCTCTCTCTCTCTCTCACACACACACACACACACACACACACACCTCCTGTGCCAATAGCCTCTGTGCCGCGTTGGGCTCATAGCCCGGCTGACACACCGTAGGCGGGTTGAAGGCTGAAGCAGGGTTGAGCATAAATACCCCCCTTCCCCACCGCTCCATCCCCTCCCTCCCCCCTTCCCCTCTTCCCCCCCCTCACCTCCTGAGCCAATAGCTTCTGGGCTGCGTTGGGCTCGTAGCCCAGCTGACACATGGCGGCCTCCCATTGGTCGATCTCGGCCACGGGCAGGAAGGTGAGCATGCGGAGGAATTTGATGACGTCAGCATCAGGTGTGGCAAACAGGTACTGTGGGTTGGGGGGGGGGAGAGAGGGGGTGGGGGAGAGGGGGGATGGGGAGGTGGGGGTTGGGGGTGGGGGGGGTGGGGATAGCTACGTTTTGTATATTCATGAAATGAGAATTTGAAGGGCGAGAGCGTGGCAGCAGGGAGCCGTATTGCACCGCCCGCCCTCTGACTTGCCACTGTGAGCATGGCAGCATGGAACCACTTGTTAGTTACCATGAACACTCACCTGATAGAACTTGTAGGGCAAGAGCATAACAACAGATAGCCAGATGGCCCCTCCCTCCGCCTTTCCAAACATGCTGCCATCGCTGCGCAGCTGAATCTGGTTACCACTGTCACCGCTGGTTACCACTCATTACCCACCAAGCCCACCTGGTAGAACTTGTAGGGCGAAAGCATGGCAGCGGACAGCCAGATGGCCCCTCTCTCCGACTTGCCAAACTTGCTGCCGTCACTGTGCCGCAGCATGTGGTTACCACAGCCACCGCTGGTTACCGCTCATTACCCACCACGATCACCTGGTAGAACTTGACAAGAGCATTGTAGCAGACAGCCAGATGGCCCCTCCATCTGAATTGCCAAACTTGCTGCTATCACTGCACAGCAGCATGTGGATACCTCTGAGAGTGACTCCGTTTACCAACAGACTCACTTGATAGAACTTGTAGGGCGAAAGCATGGCAGCGGACAGCCAAATAGCCCCTCCCTCTGACTTGCCAAACTTGCTACCATCGCTGCGCAGCAGCAGCGGCCACGTGAGCCCAAACACACTCGGACCCTGCTCCTGCTCCTGCTGCTCCTCTTCCTGCTGCTCCTCTTGCTGTCCCTCTTGTTGACCCTCCCCCCCTGTGGAAGCCTTAGAGGGCACAATGCCTGCTGCCTGCAGCCGCCGAAGGAGGTCGGTGCCGGCTGTGATGTTGCCCCACTGGTCGCTGCCGCCCATCTGCACTGTGATGCCCTTTTCCTTGTACAGGTGCACAAAGTCGTACCCCTGATGTACGAGGAGGCGGGGGAGGGGGGGGGGAGGATGGGAAGGGATAAATCAAAGGAGTGAAGTGAGCCCCCAGAGGGCACAACGCCCGCTGCCTTCAGCAGCAGCTGCCGAAGGAGGTCGGTGCCCCAGTGATGCCTTGTACAGGTGCACAAAATTATAGCCCTGCGGTACGAGATTGAAGGGCAAGGAGGGGAGGGGACACACACAGCGAGCCCCTGAAGCCGAAATCAGGAGCCGGGGGGGGGGGGAGGGGCAGACACACAGGAGAGCAGGGCAAGGCGGAGGAGGGGAAGTCAGCGGGGGGGCCCTGGCTGTGACTTTTGAGTCGACTCAAAAGTCACCTCGAGGGGAAGTCAGCGGGGGGGCCCTGGCTGTGATGTTACCCCGCAGCTCCGCTGGTGACCGCCGCGCCCCATGTGCAATGCGATGCCCTTCTCCTTGTGCAGGTGCACGGAGTCGTAGCCCTGAGCAGAGAGGAGGGGGAAGAGCAGCAGCAGACCGGGAGGGGAGTGGAGGAACGAAAGGGGACTGTGAGGGGGAGTGCCGGCTGTGATGTTGCCTCAGTGGTCGAGTGCAGTGGCTGGTAGGTGGATCTTGTAGTCGACTGCAGTACGCATCATCGCCCCCTCCCAACGTTATGTTTAAGCTGATCCCCTCCTCTGAAGTCAATCTCTTGGTCACACTCTTCTTGGACATCATCATCGCCCCCACCCACACAGACTTGCCCATATGGTTGTGAGGTGCCTGAAAAACAGGGTCACCTGCAGCAGCTGGTAGGTGAACTCGGTGTAGCTGATCCCCTCCTCTGACGCCAGCCGCTTCTTCACGCTCTCCTTCGCCATCATCGCCCCCACCCGCGCGTGCTTGCCCACGTCCCTCAGAAACTCCAGCAGCGACACGCCCTTCCACCAGTCGTAGTTGTTCACCAGCTCCAGACTGCCGCCCGCAACACTGCCCTGGTTCTCCTGTTGGCAGAACGGAGGGAGGGCGGGGGGGGGGGGTGGAGGAGGGGAGGGAGAAAAGGGTCGGATGCGAGGAGACACAAGCGTCCACCAGTCTTACTTGTTCACCAGCTCCAGCCTGCCGCCCGGTCGCTGCCCTGGTTCTCCTGACGGACGGAGAAGAGGAGTGGGGGGGGGAGAGGAACAAGGGGAGAGAATGTCGCCCTGGTTCTCCTGTTGGCAAGTGTGTGTGGGGGAAACAGCGGTCGCCCCTCAGAAACTCTAACAAGGAGACGCCCTTCCACCAGTCGTAGTTGTTCACCAGCTCCAGACTGCCGCTTGGATGGTCGCCCTGGTTCTCCTGTTTTTGGGAGAGAGAGGGGGGCAGTGGAGAAGGGAGACAGGAGGGAAGAAGAAAAGTGTGAGCTGAGAGGAGTGAGAGGAGCAACACACCCCCCCCCACCAGTCGTAATTTTTCACCAGCCCCAGTCTGCCGCCTGGAATGTCCCCTTGATTCTCCTGATGTGAGGGCAGAGGACTGGGTGGGAGGAAAACAAACACGTCCCTCCACCGATCAGTGTTGTTCACCAGCTCTACTTGCTCTCCTGTTGGCTGGGAACGGAATGAAGTCTGGGGGGGGGGTGAGAATGGGGTGAAAAGAAAACTACCGACCGTGCGAGACGATCAGGAAGGTTTAGTGAAACCCGTTGCTGTTCCGCCCATTTGTCTACGCGCATTAAAACCGCGGATAAGGAGACGAGTTTTGAGGCGCCTCAAAAGTCCGCGCAATCGTCTCGTCTCTTCGTCTACCACTGCGTTCCACGCCCTTTCCCGGGAAGGAGTGCGTTGAGGCAAGGCGTGCACAGTGGAACAACCTAACAGCACCTTCTAGCTAGCAAGCACAGACTCCCCAGCCGTGGCAGGATGTCTTCAAGGTTTTTATAGATCCCATTGCTGTTCCTCGCGATCATCTCCTCGTCCATCACCAGCCACTCAAGAGAGATCCCCCACCCACCCCACTGTGGCTGCCCCAATTCTTGAGGCCCTACACGCGTAACCAGTTGGAAGGAACCTACCGGCCGTGACAGGATATCTTGCAGGATCTTATAGATCCCCCTGCTGTTCCTCGCAATCGTCTCCTCGTCCATCACTGGTCGCTCCACGCTCTTCCCCGACGGGTCCCCCACCCTTGCGGTGGCTCCTCCGAGCAGCGCCACGGCCGTGTGGCCGCAGCGCTGCGCCCATGCCAGGGCGATGATTCCCAGGAGGTTACCCAGATGCAGGGACTCTGAAGGGGGGGGGAGATGGGGCAGGGGGGCGAAACGGAGACTGGCATCTCTCTCAGGGTGCTCCCTCCAAGCAAGGTGCAAAAATACGGTAATCGTATTATTCGGGATGTTTAATACGGCCGTAAGTCTTTTTTTTTTTGGGGGGGGCGGATCCACGCGCATAACAGATCCGCACAATTTGGCGGGCGAAATGCGAGATCCGCGCATTTCGGCGGGCGAAATACCAGATCCGCGCATGTCGCCTGTCGAAACACGAGATCCGTGCATTTTGGCTGGCAACCGTCAAAACGCGAGATCCGCACGTTTCGGCGGACAAAATGCCAGATCCGTGCTTTCTGGCGGTACATTTCACCCCGTTTCTTGAGAATTCGGCCAAAAACGACCGTTTTTTTGCACCACCCTCAAAATGGTACTTCTGACCGTTTTGTATCTTCTTGTACGGCAAAAACTTCGGTACCGTACCATACGGTCAAATTTTGAAAAGAACGCCATTTTTTTGCACCTTGCCTCCAAGCAGAGCTACGGCCGTGCGGCCGCAGCTCTGTGCCCATGCCAGGGCGATGATCCCGAGGAGGTTGCCCAGATGCAAGGACTCTGCAGAGGGGGGAAAGAGGAGATTGTGGGATTGGAGCAACAACTCCTTCCCCCCCTCCAAAAGGAGAGCCACGGCCGTGTGACCGCATCGCTGCGCTCAGGCTTGGGCGAAAATTGTTGGAGATAAGCTACAATTCGGTTGGCACAACTTTGTGTGTTAGTAATTTGTTGGTTTTAGGGTTAGGCATAATTGTTAGGTTGGGTGTAGCTTTGTTTTCATCCCCAACCTATCCCAACTCAATCCATCCCAAATCCCCACGATTTGGGAGGATTCCCTTGGGATTCCCTCCGATTCCCCCGTATCCCTTCCCATCCTCTCCGATAGGCTTGAACAAAACCGGGTAATTACCCGACCCGACCCGGTTTTGCAATACCCGACCTTGGGTCGGGTATTTTCGGGACGGGTCCGGGTCGGGTAATATGCCCAGGACCCTTACCCGGACCCGGCCTTAGCGGACGGGTAATACAATACCTGCCTGGCGGGTCCGAGTATACCCAACCCAGTTACCCTGAAAAGCGGATAATAGTACCCGCCACCTACTAGTGGGCATCCTAAAAACGGGCTATACTAGGTAGGGTTTCTGAAAACGCAACTCTCAAATGAGAGTCGTGTTTTTTGGAGGTCGAATTTGACCACCCAACTCTCTCCCTTTCACCGCACTGAACTCCTCCCCGTCTACAAAATCCAATTTCCAACCAAACTCCCTCCCTTTCACGGCATTATTTTCCCATTATTTTCCCGGCAATTTGTTTTCCTTCTAAATCCGACATTCTCGCTCTCCGAGTGTTAAGTATCCGCAAAGGAACTCGTTTTTCGCGGAGCCCGCGCTGCGCGAGTTTGCCTATCAACGACTTAAGAGCTGCGCTACGCGCGGAGAAAGGGTCCTTGGAGCATCATGGCGTACCCTACCACGTCTCTCTCGAACCCGATCACTCCCTTGCGCCTCGACCCAAATGGCTCAAGCCCTAACTTCAAGGAGTGGAGCTATAGGGTTGATAAGCATCTCCTAAGTCGTAAGATTGAGGGGATTTGCTTCAAGGATGTCATCCTCAATCGCGACAAAGGAAAGATGTTGGTAGATGTTGGTCCTTCCCAAGAGCTCTCGGCCACGGCCATTGAGGAACACACCAAGGCGCATGAGAAATCCATGTCCAAGTATGAGGAATCTTACAGCGTGTGGGAGCAAGCCGACGCCGCCATCATCGGCGTCTTCGTCGGCACTACCCCTTCCGAGCTCGTCAAACTTACCATAACTACCATTCCACGCATGTCATTTGGGAGTATCTCAACGATCGCTTCCTCAACAAAACCGCTGTGCGGGTGGCGATTCTCATCCCCGCATGTTTCAAGTGTGACTGGAGGAGTGCACTGGTATGGCAGATTATGTCACTGAGATTCAAGGGATTCATCAGGAGCTGAAGCAACTCGGCATTGTCTTCCCAGAGCAAGCCCCTGCAGCTAGGCTTGAGCAACGAGTCGGGTCGGGTCGGGTAACCCGACCCGAACCCGACTTTTTGACGGGTCGGGTCGACATTTGTGGAGGGTCGACCCAACCCTCGAGTACCCGACCCGACCCGGCTGACAAAACCCGACCCGTCGGGTCGGCTTATTACCCGTCCCTGCCCCTATGCCAACCCGACCCGACCCGACCCGAAATCGGGTCAGATAGTACCCGACCGACCTATTAAACCCGGGTTGGGTTGACATTTCCTGAACTCCGACCCGACTTGACCCGACCCGACCCAACCCGACCCCGACATCGGGTAGGGCGAAGTCGGGTCGGGTCGGATCAAGTCGGGTTCATGCTCAAGCCTACCTGCAGCAGCTCTGCTTGTTGGGCTGACCCTCTCTTACAATGTCACTCGCTCCATGCTTCCCCATCTCCCACCAGAAGAGCTAATCTTTGCCAAGGTCTCTTCCGCGCTTCTCTCTGCTGAAAAGGACAACACTGCGCATGCTCGAGCAAATGCGCTTCGCGCTCCTGTCCCGACATCCCGTCCTAATGCACCACCCACTCATAACCGCTACCCACCTTGTCCTTACGTCATCAAGATGGGACCGAGTGCGGGTCAGGTGTGCGGCAGCACTAATCACCCACTCGCCACCTGTTTCAAGAAGAAGGACGACGAGTGGTTCGCCAAGAATGGGATCAACTCCAAGCCGCCCAACTAGCTTCGCATACGCCAGCTCAACCATGTTGAGGCACAGGATAGTCAGGACTCCGCCGTTGATGGCCCCAGTCCCGATAATCGTCTCAACCTGTTGTTCCATGGCCTTTCCATGATCAATGAAACTAGTTCCCAGTACTCGGCATCTGCACAAACACCATCTAAACCACTTGAATTCGTCCTAGACGGTTTTAGGGTTATGCATATTTGTTAGGTTGGGTGTAGCTTTGTTTTCATCCCCAACCAATCCCAACCCAATCCATCCCAAATCCCCACGATTTGGGAGGATTCCCTTGGGATTCCCTCCGATTCCCCCTTATCCCTTCCCATCCTCTCCGATGATCGGTACTTAAGGATGTATGCTCTTGCTCATTCAATTAATCGAGTTCTCAGCTTTTGACAACAGACTCACCTGCAATTGCAACTAGTTTACAATGCATAGCGTGCACAGCATAGTCGCTGCAGCAGTAATGCAAAGCACAGTACTGCACCAGGAAGCACAGTACCTGCAGTGGGGTCGAAGCCAACGTAGATCTTCAGAGGATGCTCCGACGCTGCTCATGCATGAACGGGCAAAACGAGGAGAGAGGAGGCAAAACGAGAAGAGAGAGAGGATGTGCGAAGAATGCGAGGAGGCGAAAACGTTACAGCATAACCAAACAAGGAGGAGACATTTAGGCATTTGGGGGAGCAAGGCATGTCCAAAACTCAGTAACGGTCCATGCTTGCAGAGTGCCACAAAGGGATGTGATTCAAACGGGGATGGGGCTGACCTTCCCTGAACGCCTCACTGGTCACGGTGTCTGCCAACCCTCGCTCCCTCAGCACGTCCAAGAGGTTAGGTCTTGATGGGGTGGGGGGGGGGAGGGGGAGGGGGGGGGAAGGGCGGGGGATATGCGGACAGGGGGTGCCGGGATGGCTTTGGTGTGGGAGGTCTCTCAAACGCCTCAATGCTGACTGCATTGGCCAATGCTCGCTCCCGCAGCACATCCAGGAGATTGGGTCTGTGGGGCGGAGAGACGGGTGAGAGGAGGCGGAAAGAGGGGTGAGAGGAGGTGGAAAGAGGTGAAAGGGAGTGCACGCTTGGGAGGCGCTGGAAGGTCCTCAACGCCTCGCTGGTGTGGCGCCTGCATCTGAATCCACCAGTCCTCTCTCCCGCAGCACGTCAAGGAGATTGGGCCTTGAGTGGGGGAGATAGAAAGGCGAGCGGGCGAGGGGGGGGGGGGGAGGGGGAGGGGGAGGGGAGGGGAATGGGAGGAGAGAGTGTGATTGAGAGAGGATGGATGAGGGGGGGTCCGGACTCCTGCACCCTCACTGGTGCCTGAAACCACGCACTCCACCAGCCCCCTCTCCCTCAGCTCACCACGTCCAGCAGGTTGGGTGTATGGGGCACACGAGGGAGAAAGTTTTGAGGCGCCTCAAAGCAGGTTGGGTGTATGGGGCACACGAGGGAGAAAGTTTTGAGGCGCCTCAAAGCAGGTTGGGTGTATGGGGCACACGAGGGAGAAAGTTTTGAGGCGCCTCAAAGCAGGTTGGGTGTATGGGGCACACGAGGGAGAAAGTTTTGAGGCGCCTCAAAGCAGGTTGGGTGTATGGGGCACACGAGGGAGAAAGTTTTGAGAAGCAGGTTGGGTGTATGGGGCACACGAGGGAGAAAGTTTTGAGGCGCCTCAAAGCAGGTTGGGTGTATGGGGCACACGAGGGAGAAAGGGGAGCGGGCGGAGAGTGAAAGTGGGACGGCCTCTCCTAGATTCCGTCTTTTCGGTCTAAAACCACTCGTTTAACCGTGTTGCGCCTGTTGCGCCCATCCGTCCCTCACCTGCTCGACCTCTCCTTCGCCCCCGCCGATGCTCCTCGCTCCGTGGCTACCGCAGCTGCAGCGGAACCTGCGCCGCCATCTGCGGCGGCTGCTGCGGCGGCTGCGGCGAATCGCCGACAGGGCCAAGGCGCGCTGCGGACCGCCCTGGATCGGGAAAGAATCCCCGCCGATTGCGGCGTCCGGAGGGTTATCCTGGCGCCGCGATTGGTCGCCGCTGATGTGGCGCTACGCGGAGCGAGAGCAGAGGTACACGGCTGCGCATATGCATGCGAAGGCGCGGAAAGAGCACAGCGGTTGTCGAGGCGCAATTTGGGGTGCGGGAACCGCGGCAATGCGCGGGACGCGGAGAGGCGCAGCATGGCGGACGGCGCAGCCATTCCGCTGGCGGAGGCGGAGGCGGGGGGTTCTGGGGAGGCCTCAAAACTCCTGGACAAATCGATGGGTGTTTCACCACCTAAATACTTCGGCAGATCGAAATTAGGGAAATAGGCGCTTTATCGCGCCACGAATGCTGTATGATCGAGCCGTCCACAAGTGATCATGTGCCACGTCACACAGCGGAAAAATGTCTTAGCTGTACTGCTTTTCTTGGCCAGTGACCATCCAACTGTAATCTCTCAAAGAAGCATTTCGCTTCTCGCAATGGAAATGAAATTAGGAGCTAATCCAAAATAGTTTATTTTAATATAAATTAGGAGCTAATCAATGCCCGATTATTTTATTTTCACATTGATTCCGAATGTCTTGATTCTAATATAGTATTCCTCATTTTTGTCACATCTGCAACCAATCGCGTGTCAGCAACAGGGCTCTGGCTAATAGGGCAACTACCCTTAATGTCGCGAAATTTAAGAGTTGTTTTCGACCTGATTCCATTTTTCGGCGTAGTAAAGTTTTCTTGATTCCGTCTGCCTAGCGGATTAATTTTCGTGTGATTGCTTGACATTACGGGTTACTTTTATTTGATTCCGTATGAGATCTGTTCGTGGTGGTGTATTACCCCCTCCCACCCTCCCCTCTACCTCAACTAAGCAGAGAGAGAGGCTAGTTAGCGGGAAGATTTTCTACACTTCCAATCGCCCAATGCATAGAATATGCGAGAAACAGTCCCTGAAGTTCGAAAGCTTTTCCCTAGCCTTGGCGTTGTCTTTGAGGATGTTAGTATCAAACCGAGAATAGCTCTTCGACGAATCCGTAGTTTAACGGGTAGTGTTTCGGTGATTCCGTCCGCTAATGGGTAATTTGGGGCCGATTCCGTGACCTAACGGAATACCCCAGGCCTTAGAGAGAGCCTTGGTCAGCAACTGCCACCGAGCTACGTCACACGTTACACCGTTCTCTACAGTCACCGTTTTGGGGAAGGCATGTACGCGAGTTTTAAAGGTAGAATTTAACCATTTATAAAAATTTATGGAGTACATATTTCGGATTTCACAGCTAAGTCAGCTCAGGCTCACTTCAATTCGGCCAAGGCCTGGAAAATAATCAATTGGATCAACTGTGGAACCTTGCACAGAAGAATTTCGTTGCTACTTTCAGAAGAGGGGGTTTTCGCGACTGACATTTAGACTTTTAATAGTTCACCTGTGGCTCGCAAATGAGCAGTGGGAATCCCGGCTCCCTGCTTGCCTCAAACTCAGCAAACGCTTGTAGTACGAGGATATACTCCGTAAATAGCCTCGAAAACGTTTCCACAAAGCTCCCCAAAAAGACCTCACGATGTCTCCACAGGAACCTCGCATCCTGAGGGCATGTCCCGCGCCTATGTTTCATTTCAATACCCCACCCAACCGTTTCTGAACGTTTGTTTAACCTTCTAATCCAAAGAGCATCTCACACAACCGCAATCAAATGTACGCGCCAGACCCGCCCCACCCAGACCCATCCACAATAGATTCCTTATCTCCCGTGATTATGCTGACTCGAGTGTCGGATCGGATGCACCATCCTAGCAGCTGCAGCAGCTCCACCGTCAGATGCAAAGGGCTCCTAGGAACCGTCACAGGTCGCTTAGTTTAGGGGTCCTCGTTTTTCCGTTCGTTTCTCTGTTCGTTTTTCCGAGGACAGACGTGACGATCGTCTGAACCGGAGTCCTTGAGATCTCACTACTCGCACTGGCTTCTCTGACGGGAGCTCGCTGATTTCGCTAGGAACTATCCTAGCTGTTCGCTGCTAGGACCTATCCTAGCGAAAACGGCTCATCTGTAGCAAAACAGCTTGTGAATCTTCGTGGCGCTTCAGCCTTATTGAGCCAATTATCTCTTACGAAATTCCGAAATTGACTTTTACTCCAGGCTTTGAATTGCCGGGTTCCTTCAACTGCCCGTTACGGAGCTGCGCTGCTGGAGCGAAAAGGGCCTGCTTTTCGTTAAGATCCGTCTACTGGCGCTAACCGTTAAAGCCTTAAGGCGCCTCGAAGAACGCTGCCCGTCTACAGGCGCTACCCGTTTCGAGCGCTCCATCTAGCGGCGGTACCCGTTTGAGCTGCAAGGTGCATTGAAGAGCGCCACGCAATAGCGTGGATGACGTGGATCGTGGATTCGTTGGTCGGCCTGCCGACACCGCTGCTGGCGCTACTGGGATGCGTGAGTGATGGGGATTGTTGAGTGGGAAATTGTGTGGGATGGAGTCTCGAATGCGGGAGTGACATGCGCAATGCCTCCATCGATTGGTCGAGGTTGCTGAGTGGGACATTGTGGGGGGTGCCTTTTGAGTCGACTCAAAAGAAATTGTGGGGGGTGCCTTTTGAGTCGACTCAAAAGAAATTGTGGGGGGTGTATGTTGAGTCGACCTCAGATACTGCTGAGATGCGTCTGTGACATGGTGTGAGTATCAGTGACATGGTGTGAGTATCAGTGACATGGTGTGAGTATCAGTGACATGGTGTGAGTATCAGTGACATGGTGTGAGTATCAGTGACATGGTGTGAGTATCAGTGACATGGTGTGAGTATCAGTGACATGGTGTGAGTATCAGTGACATGGTGTGAGTATCAGTGACATGGTGTGAGTATCAGTGACATGGTGTGAGTATCAGTGACATGGTGTGAGTATCAGTGACATGGTGTGAGTATCAGTGACATGGTGTGAGTATCAGTGACATGGTGTGAGTATCAGTGACATGGTGTGAGTATCAGTGACATGGTGTGAGTATCAGTGACATGGTGTGAGTATCAGTGACATGGTGTGAGTATCAGTGACATGGTGTGAGTATCAGTGACATGGTGTGAGTATCAGTGACATGGTGTGAGTATCAGTGACATGGTGTGAGTATCAGTGACATGGTGTGAGTATCAGTGACATGGTGTGAGTATCAGTGACATGGTGTGAGTATCAGTGACGTGGTGTGAGTATCAGTGACATGGTGTGAGTATCAGTGACATGGTGTGAGTATCAGTGACATGGTGTGAGTATCAGTGACATGGTGTGAGTATCAGTGACGTGGTGTGAGTATCAGTGACGTGGTGTGAGTATCAGTGACATGGTGTGAGTATCAGTGACGTGGTGTGAGTATCAGTGACATGGTGTGAGTATCAGTGACATGGTGTGAGTATCAGTGACATGGTGTGAGTATCAGTGACATGGTGTGAGTATCAGTGACATGGTGTGAGTATCAGTGACATGGTGTGAGTATCAGTGACATGGTGTGAGTATCAGTGACATGGTGTGAGTATCAGTGACATGGTGTGAGTATCAGTGACATGGTGTGAGTATCAGTGACATGGTGTGAGTATCAGTGACATGGTGTGAGTATCAGTGACATGGTGTGAGTATCAGTGACATGGTGTGAGTATCAGTGACGTGGTGTGAGTATCAGTGACATGGTGTGAGTATCAGTGACATGGTGTGAGTATCAGTGACATGGTGTGAGTATCAGTGACATTACGTAAAGCATGCATGCGTTGATCGAGATTGGTGAGTGGGAAATCGTGTGCGGTGGGAGAGCGGGATGGACCAACCGTCCATGTCGATTTCTGAGCGGAGTGATTTTGGTATTATGGGCGAATGCTAGAGTGAGACGGAAATTCGCGGGAATGTCCGAGGGATGTGGGAGTGTCCGAGGGATGTGGGAATGTCCGAGGGATGTGGGATCGGCAGAGGGGCACGGGGGAAACGTTAAAGGGGCACGGGGAACGTCAGAGGGGATGCTGATTCAAACAAAGGGTATTCAAGAGGGAGGTTCTGGGAGGGCTGGCTCGGATCGGATGCATTGCTGCTGCCTCATGCCTCGTTCGTCTAGGCCCACGCACGCGTTCCTTCCCGGTTGCTTCCCGTCCTCGCTGTCCCAGCTTTTACCCTTTCCTTTCCCCCCCTTCTCCTTCGCCTTTCCCCTTCCCCTTTTGTTCTCCCCCCCCTTCCCCCCACCGTCCTCCTCTCCTCCCCTCTCCCCCCACCCCCCCCTCTTCCCCCCCTTCTCCGTTCTCCCCCCCGCCCTTTGTTTTCCCGCCCTTTGTTTTCCCGACCCTTGTTTTCCCGACCCTGCATTTCCTTGGCTGGCTCAGGCGCGCGTTGCTCTCCTCTGGATTCTGGTCCGCGTTGCCTCACGGCTCCTTGTGATCCCACCCTCACCCCCTCTCCCTCCCCCTTTCACATTTCGCCCCGCATTTCCTTGGCTGCCTCAGGCGCTCGTCGCTCTCCTCTGGATCCTAGTCCTCGTTGCCTCACGGCTCGTTCTGTTGGACGTGGGAATCAGGTGAGCCCGCTGATTGGCTCGCTAATTGGCTCACTACTAAAGCCACGTGGCGCAGGGCTGTCCGTGCGTTTTCTACCTGTTTTTGAGCTGCCTCAAGGCTTCTTTACAGCCACTGAGCAACGTTTAACTAAAAGTCGGTCACATAGTTACAAAGTATGACACCCTTCAGGCGCCATCCTGGTTGTCGTTTTCTTCCATCGATATCAAAAGACTTACTGTTACTGAACTCCCCGGGGCAACTTCTAAGACTTCAAAACACAAAGCATTTGAGTCGACTCAAAAACTGGACTCCCCAGGGCAACTTCTAAGACTTAAGAACACAAAGCATGGCACCTGTGACTTTTGAGGCGCCTCAAAAGTCGCCTGTGACCTGTCATGTGCCATTCCGATAGTGTCTTCCCTCCATGCGTACAACAGCCGATTCCTTTACCCTGTCAGCAAAGGCGCATTCTTCCATGCTCCATGACACATTGCCATTGCACTCTCCCCCCCACCTCCCCCCCCCCCCCACCACCCCCCACACCCTTTGGCATGGAGCGCGTAGCGCGTAGCACCACCCCCCACACCCGTTGACAATGTGCCTTGATCTTCATAGTTTTGCTACGGGTGTGGGGGGTGGTAGGCTTGAGCAACGGGTCGGGTCGGGTCGGGTAACCCGACCCGAACCTGACTTTTTGACGGGTCGGGTCGACATTTGCGGAAGGTTGACCCGACCCTCGGGTACCCGACCCGACCCGACCCGACCCGACCGATAAAACCCGACCCGTCGGGTCGGCTTATTACCCGTCCCTGCCCCTATGCCAACCCGACCCGACCCGACCCGAAATCGGGTTAGGTAGAACCCGACCTATTAAACACGGGTCGGGTTGACATTTCCTGAACTCCGACCCGACTTGACCCGACCCGACCCGACCCGAACCCGACATCGGGTAGGGCAAAGTCGGGTCGGGTCGGGTCGGGTCGGGTTCATGCTCAAGCCTAGGGGGTGGTGCTTGCTCATATGTTCCTTGCTCAAAACTAGACTCCTAATGTGCCTCAAAACTGCACATAGGCGCCTCAAAACTAGACTCTTCATAGTTTCGCTCTTCCTTGCTCACTTCCCTGTCTCCTCTCCCCTCCCCACCTGCAGTGGCATGGACTGCGAACCACTGTTCGTGGAGGGCCCTAGCTCAATCAACAAGATGCCGTTGCCTGTCTTCTGACTGCTGGTTCCCCTCTCACCTTCCCCATATGTCACTTTCCCTTGCTGCTGCCATTGCGCTTCCCCCGCCCCCACCCCCCACCCCACCCCTCTTCCCCCCCTGGTGGTCCCCCACCTGCAGTGGCAAGGAGTGCGAAGCACCGTTCATGAAGGACCCAAACTCCATTGAGAACGTGCCCTTAACCCCTCCCCCCTCCCCCCTCTCCCCCCCCCCTCTCACCTTCCCATGGGTCACCTCCCCTTCCCTTTCCCCTCCCCACCTGCAGTGGCAAGGAGTGCGAAGCACTGTTCATAAAGGACCCGAGCTCCATTGAGAAGGTGCCGTTGTCTTTCTGACTGCTTGTTTCCCTGAGGAGTCTATTTTTGAGGTGCCTCAAAAATAGACTCCTCATGCTTGTTTCCCTCTCGCCTTAACTTCCCCACCTCCCCTTGCCTCCCTTTCCCGCTGTTCCAGTGGCTCAGAGAGCGAAGCACTGTTCGGATGGAGGACCCGAACACAACTCCATTGACAAGGTGCCTCTGCCTTCGGTGTTGCTTTCTCACCTAAACCTCCTTACCTTCCCACCTCTCCCCCCCCTTCCCCCCCCCCCCCCCCGAGCAACCCCAGTGGCTCGGAGCGCGAGGCACTGTTCATGGAGGACCCCAACTCCATTGACAAGGTGCCTCTGCCTTCGGTGTATGCACCGGCGGAGAAGTACTTGACTGTAGTGTGCCCTGCTTATAACGAGGAGGGCAGAATCGCCGCCACGCTTGATGAAACCATCAGGTGAGGCATTGGAATGGGGGTTCTGGGTTAGCGTGGCGTGACTGTTGTGTGCCCTGCCTGCTTGTAACGAGGACAGCAGAATTGTTGTCACTCTGGATGAAACTATCAGGTGAGGTATGGGAGGAATTGTTTGTGGCTTTCTTTAGTAGGGGGTGTGCCTGTGGTGTTCCCTGCTTATAACGAGTACAGCAGAGACGCAGCTACCTTGGATGAAATGAAACTGTCAATTGAGGAACGGTAATGCTAATGATTTGCTGGGAAGTTTGGCATGGCAGCAGTATGCCCTGGTTTGTGATATTCTGTGCTGTTACATGGATAATGTTATTCATTGCGTATGCTATGTTACCTGCAAGCTAATCTGCACTCCTTGCTACCATTTCTCCCTCCTTTTCCCCTTCCCCCCTCCCCCTCCCCCAACCAGCTATCTGCAGGAAAGGTCAGCAAAGGACGCTTCTTTCACCTACGAGGTATTGCTCCGCACTGCACCCTACCCTACCACACCGCACTACACCACACTACACCACACCTCACCACCCTGCACTGCACCGCACTACACCCATGTGTATCTCCCATGGCTTTTGCCTGGACATTGACTATCCGTCCCGTCCCTTCCATCCCTATCCGTTCTCTCCCTGCCATTATGCTGCTCATGCACATGCACATGCACTGCTCATGCACATGCACATGCACTGCTCATGCACATGCACATGCACATGCACTGCTCATGCACATGCACATGCACATGCACATGCACTGCTCATGCACATGCACATACACTGCACATGCACATGCACATGCACTGCACTGCAGTGCAGCCTGCAGGGCACTCATCAGACCTACCCTTGACGAAACTGTTAGATCCGGTGGTGTTCGATCCGGTGATGTTCGATCCGGTGGTGGTGTTCGATCCGGTGGTGGTCGATCCGGTGGTGTTCGACTCTAACTTTCTGTCCTCTTCCTCTCACGCCTCTACACATGCACTCCTTACCCTCTCCTCAGGTCCTAGTGGTGGACGACGGCAGCACTGACAACACGGTGGCAGTGGTATTTGACTTTATCAAGCGCCTTGGGATTGACCGAGTGCGAGTGGTGAAGCAGAGGGTGAACCGAGGAAAAGGGGCGGCTGTCAGGAAGGTTTGTCTCTCGAGGGAGGGAGGGGGGGGGGGGTGCATCACTAAATGGTGGTGGTTGACTTTATCAAGCACCTTAGGATCGACCGGGTGCGAGTGGTGAAGCTTTGAGGCGCCTCAAAACTGCGAGTGGTGAAGCAGAGGGTGAACCGAGGGAAAAGGAGCGGCTGTTCGACAGGTAAGAAGCTTGGGGTGAGAGAGAAGGGCCACGGGTGGGTGTGGACGGTGAGGGGCTTCTTCATGCGCCGCCGTGGGATCCGCCGAGTGCTGGTGGTGAAGCAGAGGGGAACTGGTGGAAAGGGGCGGCTGTTAGACTGGTGGGTGGATGTGTGGGTGGAACGAGGGGGGGAGAGGGATGGGGAAGATGACTTCTTACGAGGGGGGGAGAGGGATGGGGAAGATGACTTCTTACGAGGGGGGGAGAGGGATGGGGAAGATGACTTCTTACGAGGGGGGGAGAGGGATGGGGAAGATGACTTCTTACGAGGGTGGGAGAGGGATGGGGAAGATGATGATCTTTCAGCGCCTTTTCGACTGAGTGTGGGCGGTGAAGCAGAGAGTCAATCTGGGGAAAGGAGCTGCTGTTAGGAAGGTATGTCTCTCGAAAAGGGGGGGGTAAGGGTGCATCACTAAATGGTTCTCTTTGACTTCTTTCAGCGCCTTGGGATCGACCGAGTGTGGGTGGTGAAGCAAGCAGAGAGTCAATTGGGGGGAAGGAGCTGTTGTCAGCAAGGTAAGAAGCTCGGTGTGTGCGGAAGTGATATGGGCTGGGGCGGGGGAGGCGGGGGAGGTGGGGGGTCTCCTTATTCGCCGCCTTGGAATCGACCGAGTGAGAGTGGTGAAGCAGAGTCAACCGAGGAAAGGGGGCTGCTTTTAGAAAGGTAAGACGCTCAGTGTGTTTGTGGAAGAGAGGGGGGGTGGGGGAAAAGAGGTGGGGGAAGAGCGGCGGGGCGACAATTTCACCAAGCGCCTTGTTATCGACCGAGTGCGAGGGGTGAGTGAAGCAGAGAGGGATATCGGTGGGAGTGGAAAAGCAGAGAGAGAACAGAGGAGAGAGAGCAGATGTTATAAAGGTGTGTGTCTGACTGAAAGGGATAATAGGGGGGATTCACTAAGTGGTGTTCGATATTTCTTCAGCACTTGGGACCGCCCGAGTGCGAGTGGCGAAGCTGCTTTCAGAATGGGAGTTCGTCTCTCCTTTCTGCTTTGTGCTACGGAAGAGCCCTCATTCTCTTGCCCCCTTCTCCTTACTTTGCCTTACTCCGACTTTGCCTTACTCCCACTTTGCCTTACTGCGACTTTGCCTTACTCCCGCTTCGCGTCACCCCCACTTTGCCCTACCCCCACTTTGCCCCATCCCCACTTTGCCCTACCCCAACTTTGCCCCATCCCCACTTTGCCCCATCCCCACTTTGCCCCATCCCCACTTTGCCCCATCCCCACTTTGCCCCATCCCCACTTTGCCCCATCCCCACTTTGCCCCATCCCCACTTTGCCCCATCCCCACTTTGCCCCATCCCCACTTTGCCCCATCCCCACTTTGCCCCATCCCCACTTTGCCCCATCCCCACTTTGCCCCATCCCCACTTTGCCCCATCCCCACTTTGCCCCATCCCCACTTTGCCCCATCCCCACTTTGCCCCATCCCCACTTTGCCCCATCCCCACTTTGCCCCATCCCCACTTTGCCCCATCCCCACTTTGCCCCATCCCCACTTTGCCCTACCCCCACTTTGCTCTACCACAGGGCGCGCTCTGCTCTCGGGGCGAGCTCATTCTCTTTGCAGATGCGGATGGCGCAACGCGGTTTACCGATCTAGAGAAGTTGGAGAGAGAGGTGCGAGTTAGGGAAAGAGAGATGAGGGAGGTTTGGGGGAGGGGGGGGGTGTTGGGGGGGGGTCATGAGCTCGAATTGAAGTCATCTTGACATGTTTGTTAAATCTTATGTCCGGTTGAGTTTGGTAGTTGGCCATAGGTTTTTTACTTATCATGGGTTTGGTTCCGCTTTTTACTAAAACTTTTGTAGCGAGAAGACAGGTTAGGGAGGCAAGTGAGAAGGCGAGAGCATTTGTTTAGGCGGCTGAAAAGTGCACATGAGAATGGCAAGAAATGTAGCCTTGTTTGTACAAAGCCAAGAAAGCCTGCTTGTCGTTGTTCTTTCCTTGTTGCAGATCGTGGGCATGGCTAAGGGAGTGGCTACAGACAGCCAATCACCGATTGCCGCGTGTCCTGGCATTGGGGATGCCTCATTGGTGGCCTTTGGTTCGCGTGCCCATCTTCAGAAGAAAGCGCTTGTTACTGTGAGTGCCTGAGTACTCGTCTAGTGCTTGTGCAGTTTTAAGGCGCCTCAAAACTTACTGTGAGTGCCTGAGTACTCGTCTAGTGCTTGTGCTCTCTTTCCGCCGAGTACAATCATGTGTGTATGCTAGTCTTTCATATGTGTGTGTCCCTCAACATGGGTGTGTGCTGTGGCACCTAATGGGTCCATGACGTGGTATGAGTAGGCTTGAGCATAAACCTGACCCGACCCGACCCCACCCGACCCCACCCGACCCGACCCGACCCGACCCGACTTTGTCCTACCCGATGTCGGGTTCGGGTCGGGTCGGGTCGGGTCAAGTCAGGTCGATCCTAGGATTTCGCTGACCCGACCCGACCATAACAGGTCGGGTCATCTCTTACCCTTGGTCGGGTCGGGTCGATCCAACCCGACCCGACCCGACTTGACCCGACCTAAGTATTTTTTCCCGAGGGAAACATATGGACTTCGTAATTTCGAGATCCAGTGTGTCCTCCTCGTGTCTAGCCCACACACCCACCTCATCCTCCCACCCACAACCTCGAGATGTGGGCTGGATGTTGGTGAAAACCAGTCACGGGATGGGTGTTGGCGACTTAACTTGGATTGGTTGGGAGTGTTGGCGAAAAATGGGTTGGCGGATTTTTGGCTGGTTTGGGGGTGTTGGCGAGATTTTGGGTGGATTGCGGGTGTTGGCGAAAATTGGGTGGTTTGGGGTGCTGGCGAAAACTGGGTGGGTTGTGTTCGCTGGTGGAAATTCGAATGGTTTGGAGTAGACATGGGCAAAAAAAATCGCATCGCATCACATTTAATCGCGTTTTTGCGATTGCGATTTTTTTATTTTTTTTCAATCATCGCGCGATGCGATGAATTAATATCGCGTGATTTAAATTAAATCGCATTTTAATCGCGCTAAAAAACGCGATTTAAATGTGATATGCGATTTTTTCAAAATCGCGCGCGATGTTGCACTGAAACCCACTCTGAAACCCACTACGAAACCACACTGGTTATTTGCACTCTAGCTTACGACTGCCTGTGAGTCAATTTCCCCACAGCCATGGTTTTTTTCTGTTTGTTTGGGGTGTTTTTTTATTCTGTTTCAAAACACGATGCGATTTAAAATCCCATCGCGCGATTTAATTAAATGCCGCATTCATCGCGCGCAAAACGCGATGTGCGAATTTTTTTTTCCAGAAATTAAATCGCGCGATGCGATTTAAAATGGCATCGCATTTAATTAAATCGCCCCTAGACATGGTTAAATCGCATCGCATCGCAATATATTGCGTCGCGTTATATCGCTTTTTGCGATAGCGATTTATCTCTTTTTTTTAAGAATATCGCGGCGATGTGATGCGCTAATATCGCGCGATATTTGCATTATCGCGTTTTTATCGCGCTATTTTTTGCGCGATAAAATGCGATAATCGATAAAAAGATATCGCGCGCGATACTTTCGCGTTTCGCGTCGCGGAATTTCGCCAGCAAGGGGAGGGACATGGGCGAGGGCCCTGAACTTAGCGAAAATAGATGGTAAGCTAATCTAGGTGTCTCTTGCTGAATGGCGCGCGGAAATGGCAAGCAACAGTTTGGGGGGAGGAGTTTGTGTGAGGAGCAGAGCTTGGAGCACATTAGAGGAAGGGTTGGAAATTCTAGATGGGAAGGAGTGCAGTGTGGTTGAGGGAGGGGAGTTTGGTGGGGGTTCAAATTTGTTATGGTTGGTGGTGGGTGGTGGGCGAGTGGGTTTTCTGGATGGGATGTGGTGGTGTGCGGTTGAAGGGATTTAGGGATGTGGACTGAAATCTCGACCCCCAAAGTCAATTGGTTGGAACTCCAACCAATTTCCACCACTTCAACCGTACTAAACTCCCCTCCATCTACAGAATCCAACCCCTTCCCCTCAAACACGCTCCACATGAGAGAGGGACCACGATATTCCCATCTCCCGTCAATTCACTTACCTAATTCCGCGCGAACCTAGGAGAGCCACCATTGTCGTGCCCTGTGGTGTGGGAACACGTTTTCTTAGGGCGGGAAAACAGTAACCCCTAAATGCAGTGCGATATTATATCGCATTGCGCGATGCATCGCTTTTTTTAGGCGATATTTTTAAATATCGCCCCCTAAAACGCGATATGCGATTTCGGTTTTTTTTTTAAACATATCGCAGCGATGCGATATCGCATCGCTGCGATATAATGCGCGATAAGAAAAAATGCGATGCGATATCGCATCGCATCGCGTTTTGACCATGTCTAATCGCCCCCCAATGCGATGCGATTTAAATCGCAATCGCATTTTGCCCATGTCTAGTTTGGAGGTGTTTGCAAAAATTTGGATGGGTTGGCGAAATTCGGATGGGTTGGGGGTGTTGAGCTTTGTTTGTTGAATAGGTGTGTTGGTTGAGTTGATCCAATCGAAATCGATATGGATCTCCCTAGACCCTAAGCTGTACTAATATGCATGGTGGGGAGTAGAATAGTGGTAGGAATGAGCTGGATGCAGGGTAGAAATGGGAGGTAGCCTAAGTAGGATATGGAAAATTGTCCATTTGGTAAAAAAATCGACCAAATGGTCAGACTTTCCAGATCTGCGCAACTCTGGTCGCGCAGATCGCTTTGGTTCGAGGCGCGACCCGACTTCGGGTCGGGTCGGGTCGGGTCAACCCGACGATGTATACCCGAAGTCGGGTCAATTCAACCCGACATGTCGGGTTCACCCGAACCCGTACATGTCGGGTTCGAATTGACCCGACCCGACGGGTAAAAATCAAACCCGACGGGTCGGGTTCTGCCTACGGGAAACCTGACCCGACCCGTCAAAAAGTCGGGTTCGGGTCGGGTTACCCGACCCAACCCGACCCGTTGCTCAAGCCTGGGTATGAGTGCATGGCTACTGGATTCATGACATCGTATGAGCTCACGGCACTTTATGGTTCATGACATCGTATGAGCTCATGGCACTTTATGGTTCATGACATCGTATGAGCTCATGGCACTTTATGGTTCATGACATCGTATGAGCGCATGGCACTTTATGGGTTTAAGCTCATGTACGGCTTCTACTTCCTCATACTCACCGTTGCTGTGTTATTCCCTCCATTCTCCTCCATTCTCCTTCATTCTCCTCCGTTCTCCTTCCCCCTTTCTACGGCAGCGCAAGTGGTACAGAAATGTCCTCATGTACGGCTTCTACTTCGCAGTGCTCCTTGCAACAGGGGGGACGGGAGTGAGGGACACACAGGTGAGGGGCACACGGGTGAGGCAGTTAGAGAGCAGGAGGTTGTGGATTCATTGTTGAGGGATTCATTGTTGAGGGATTCATTGTTGAGGGATTCATTGCTGAGGGATTCATTGCTGAGGGATTCATTGCTGAGGGATTCATTGCTGAGGGATTCATTGCTGAGGGATTCATTGCTGAGGGATTCATTGCTGAGGGATTCATTGCTGAGGGATTCATTGCTGAGGGATTCATTGCTGAGGGATTCATTGCTGAGGGATTCATTGCTGAGGGATTCATTGCTGAGGGATTCATTGCTGAGGGATTCATTGCTGAGGGATTCATTGCTGAGGGATTCATTGCTGAGGGATTCATTGCTGAGGGATTCATTGCTGAGGGATTCATTGCTGAGGGATTCATTGCTGAGGGATTCATTGCTGAGGGATTCATTGCTGAGGGATTCATTGCTGAGGGATTCATTGCTGAGGGATTCATTGCTGAGGGATTCATTGCATTGCTGAGGGATTCATTGCTGAGGGATTCATTGCTGAGGGATTCATTGCTGAGGGATTCATTGCTGAGGGATTCATTGCTGAGGGATTCATTGCTGAGGGATTCATTGCTGAGGGATTCATTGCTGAGGGATTCATTGCTGAGGGATTCATTGCTGAGGGATTCATTGCTGAGGGATTCATTGCTGAGGGATTCATTGCTGAGGGATTCATTGCTGAGGGATTCATTGCTGAGGGATTCATTGCTGAGGGATTCATTGCTGAGGGATTCATTGCTGAGGGATTCATTGCTGAGGGATTCATTGTTGAGGGATTCATTGTCCAGCAAGCCCTTCTGACTCCTCACGTCAACCAACAAGCTTGCTGCAGACGGGTACTTGCTGTGCTCTGCTTGTCATATAACATCTCCCTCAGTGTCTTTTTTCCTGGCTGTTCGTTTCCTCCCTCCTGTGTTACCCTCATCCTAATCTTTCTTTCCGTGTTTTCACCACCCTCAACTGCAGTGTGGCTTCAAAATGTTCACTCGCTCAGCTGCCCGAAAACTCTTTCGCAATCAGAGGCTCAACAGGTGCGTCGGCAACCTAGTCGCACTGGATAATCCTATCACTCCTAACAGATTGCACTATGACTGTCTAGCTCCTTCTGCCTTGGACCTGCTGCCAATGCTGCTGCCAATGCTGCTGCCAATGCTGCTGCCATTGTTATGCATGCTTGCAAGTTCTCCAGAGTTTTCTAAGCCAAGTAACCACTGCACACTTCACTCCTCTCCCTTTTCTGTTGACCCACTTCACTCACAGTTCCTTGCTTTGGTTCTCTCTGCTCCTTCCCCTGGTGTCCCCCTCCCCTGGTATTTCCATCCAGATGGACCTTTGATGTGGAGTTACTGTACCTGTGCAAGAAGCTGCATATCAGAGTGGCGGAGGTTGCAGTCGCCTGGACAGAAATCCCAGGGTCCAAGCTCCGGCCTACTAGCATATTCCATATGCTCTTTGAGCTTGCCCTGATTCGCACTGGTTATGGCCTGGGCGTTTGGAAGATTAAGCAGGACTTATTCAACTAGTGTAGGTTTGAAAACAGCTGTTTTCGGGTCGGGTGAGTAAGCTGAAAAATAAAAGATAACATTGTGTATGATTACAAATATCTACATGAACTAAAGAATGTAATTTACATTCACGGGGTGACTAGAGGTTGTATTCCCCCCAGCAGCATCAGCAATACGTCAACGACCAACAATTGCACGTAGGGAGCCACACATAGCGGATGCATGTGCTTGCGAAGGTCGCTGTATCTGTGCTGCTGGTGGCCATGGCATCTTGCAGCAGACGCCTGTGAGCTATCTTTCCCCACGAAACAGGAGAGCCTCCACTCGTTTTCGTGGCTGAGCCACCCTCAACATAAGATGCATAGAAAAGGTTTCCGATGATTTCTGGAGAAGTGCTGCTCGGTTTGCCTATGAGACGGTATATCAGGTACGCTGTAGCCCATTTTGGTGTGGTTGAGACGGATTTAGGAACCCGAGTGACCAGGATAGCTCCATAGACGCGAGAAAACGCTTTCTGTCTGAAGTTGTTGTACAGGTAGGAGGCGATAGCACTGTCAATGAATGGAGGAAGTGTTGCTTGAAATCCAGGGCCCTGCAGAAACATTGCAGCACAATGTCAGAAATAACCTCTTGAATTAGGATGGCGCTTTGGTGGCATGCAGAATTCGTCAGAGGAAGGAAGTTATGTTGCAGCTTACCGCATATGTGACATTGGAGCTGTGCATTGACACCGTAAGTGTTGTCGGTGCACCTTCCACAACCATGTCACGTGGATAATCATTTGAGGTGCACAGGTGAACATCTTGGCCCGCGATCTGATTCTGAGAGACAAGAGAGACGACGTATGACGAATCTTGGATGTTCGCTGGGAGTTCCGCGAGAGAAATTTTCGTGAAAGCATCATCAGGAGAGTTTTGGATGCAGACATCAACCATAGAGTCCGGTAGGCACGATCTCTGACCTGCAAAAGGGGATAGCCAGGAACACATTGAGAATGTGCGTCAAGAAACGCTCTTGTTGGATGGCAGACCCAGCAAGTTTGACATGGCGGCAACCATGTTCACGACACACGCGGGATATCAGGGGATGCTTACTGGCTAGCGCTGAACTTCCAATGTAAAGGAAATCCGCGTCTGCAGCCATCGTTCCTGTAGAAGACAAGAGATTGACGTTCTCGCTGGTTGTGGATTGGAGCAGAGGGACGCCATATGCTGCTGTTCTGTTGGTCCCCACACACAGAGCGTCCACAGGGGCTTGGTATCTCTGTAACGGTGGGAATTTCGGAAAAAAAATATAGTTCCGACTGAAAAACGATGACTAGAAGGAAGGGAGTTGTGCCAGCCAATAGATATCCTTTTAGTCTACCAAAGAACGGGGGAAATGAATGTTACGTACCGTCAGCACCACATCAAGCTCTCCAGAAGCCAACACGAAGAATGAGATGGCCAGATGAGCGGCGAAGGGCAATAGGGTAATCCGAGGAGCCATTTTGCCTGCTGGACGGTTGGAATGAAATGCTATTGCTAATCCTGACCGGTATATACGTGGGGTCGTAATACGGCCTACGAGAACTAAGGAGCGTATGTCCGCATAGCTGAATGCACGACACCTGAGTGGACAACAATGCCAGGCTGTCACAGCCTAGCAATGCCATTTTGCGGTTAGTTGTTTGCCTCGAGCCGTTCATCCGACCCATGGCTCTCCGCTATGTCCCGCAGGTTGCGGGGAAACTGTAATAGGAACGTGATAACTAAGTCCTCCACATCAGAGCGACCACGTCGCCTTCATTGTCGGTAATCTGACCGTTTCGTTCATTGTCAACCAGATTCTACCGACAATATGCACACACACTGCCTCTGTTGGGACAAGGTCCATTATGGGGCGCCTAGCGCACACCTCTTCCAGCATGAGTCGAGTCATGACCTCTGCTGTCGCCAGCAATCGCCGCAGTCGCTAGCGTTCGTGAACGTTCGCTAACTGTCGATAGCCTTCGCCAGTGAAAAATTAGAGAGTCCAGTTACAGAAACGTGACCATTTCGCCTTCTGGTCATGACTGGTGATTGCCGAATGGCTGCATCCATGATGTTTGCCTGTTTGGCTCAGCCGCGAGTTCCTTGCAGCAAATTCCGCCGCATCATGGCTTTCCCCGAACTCATCAGGCAAGTCCTCACCCCACCACAGGAAACCATAGTAGGTAGACATACTCCCCCGAACTCATCTAGACCGTCCGACAATTCTCCATGCGATGATGTGCGGATTCTCGCGAGAGGTGTCAGTGCAATCCCTAGGTCGTTACGGTTTCCGCAACTCCCGCTCGGGCCTGTCATCTTCGTCGATTCCCCTGGGGAAGGCTCTCTCCGCGAAAACCAGGCATTCCTGTTTTCGCGAGGGTCGGTTGTTCAGGGCGTGTCCCAAGAGTAAGTCCCGATTAAGGATTGTACAGGTGCAATACGGAAATGACAGTTTCAGATTTGTGAAGCCAAAATACCGTCTCTCATCGTGCGTCACCGTACACCACCGCATTTATAATATGTGGGACATACTCTTGGGACACGCCCTCATTCGTGACTCCCTGGTGTGTAACGGACCCACGTGGTAGTTGACGACGAGCGAGGGAGCCCCAGAGTACCGCTACACAAGACAACGGCGTTTCTGGTTTAGACAGCCAATGCATTTGAATTACAGCGGGTATTCCGTTAGCTCAAAATCCGCGACTCGCAAATATGGAGTACACCTAGATATTCGATACAAGAACAGGCGATAAAAGAAACCTTTTGGTACATTCAATTTAGTTTCGGGCAACCAGTGATGTCCTACGGATTGTTATGACACAGCAGTCGAATTTTATGATTGAATTTGACGTAGTTGGCCAAAGAATTTATGTGCAAGCTGCCACATTGGCATAATGGCAGCAATCCGCGAAGATCTGGCAATCCGATTTGGGAACCAATCCCATAGCCAGAGGTGGCGCGCGAAATCAACCGACCACGGCGTCGCAAATAGGCCTAGGCCACATGTGACATGGTGAGCTGTCTTTGGATTTCTGAGGGAAACAGCGTGGATGGTGGCTCCACTGACTAGTCAAGGGGTTCTAAGGATGAGACCCCTTTGCCAAGTCCATTTTGACGTTTTACAAACCGTCACTCCGAGTCTCGGAAATGCCCAATGAAAGGCAAAAAACGCCGGGCGAGATTTTCGACAGAATCCTTGACGAAATTCCGAATCGACCATCGGGTGGTACAGTCACGTTTTATGCACGGAATTGGGTCAATGTAATAATAAAGCGATAAGGTTACTCGGCACAAAAAACAAGCATACTTGTCGTTTCAAAACTTGTGACATGATTGAATATCTGGGTGTACGACGAATAGGGGCGGTACGCAACGGGCAAACTGGATAATAGAGTAGCACGAGGGACTTTAGGTGGGGTGGCGTAGGCCGTTTTACTCGTTTTGTTCACGATGAGTGCCTTGGCGTATTGGCCATTTGGGTCGGGTTACCAGCAATTTCGCCGCGTATCATGTGAGAGCTCATGTGGCCTGTTAAAAAACGCTCAGCGAATTTGTCGTCTGGTCAAAAACACGCGGACAAAAAAAAGTCACACCTCATTCTCGACCTTCCCACAAGCGGCGCAGGCTAAAAACGCGCAAAACAAATCATATGGAAAACCTTTTTCGTGGTCTCACGAAAAGGCCTAAACGGAACGAAATTCTGACGACTTTATTGAGCGGTATCGTTAAAGCCCAGGTCCCAGATTAGAAAAACGAGTCAGGTCAACGCTGGTTGAGGCTCGGCAAAGGTTGGGGATGAGGTTTGGGAAGTTGGCGAATCCCCACTGTCGCGAAAACGACTTACGAAACCAAACCCAGGGTCGCGAAGGCACGAAACTCTCCAAGACGCTGCCTCAAACTAACCCGGGCCAGCTTCGATTTCCCTCACATTATGCCCGGAACCCTATTCAGGTAGGCTCACTTTTGTAATCTAGGCTAGAGTACAGCAGAAATTTGTCTCGAAATGTTGTGGCAGTTAGAACCCCTCGGGGTTACTTCTCGCCCTTGACGCAAGTGGCGCATGACCTTTCCACATTGCGTCAGCAGCATATTCAGCTGGAGGGGTGGCCAGGATTCATTTCAGCGAGGGGCGGGTGAAGTTTATCCGAAACTTATGAGCATCAAATATTCTTTATGGGTACGTTTCGGATTATTTGGTATTTTCACGGGCTGTTGTGGACGCGGAACACTCTTTAAACGGATTCGATTATCTCCGAACCCGTAAGTTACCGGAAAACAATCTACTTGAGAACAGGTTGAAAGTCTAGGTTTTAGCAGATTTTTTTTAATTATTTTTTTGCCGAAAATGGACACTGACGAGCACGATATCACCGAAAACGGACTTTAAGGGCGGAACCCAGATGCGACGACTACCGTAAGTTTGCGCGGAAAATTCCTTGGGAGGGGAACGCGGGAAGATTTGAATCCAGCCCATCCCCCTGCCGAATCTATTGCTGACGCTTGTTGGCAAGAACATGCCCCAGCATGCGTCAAGGGCGGGATGTAACCCCAAGGGGTTCTAACCGCCACAACATTTCGAGACAAATTTCTGCTGTACTTTAGCCTAGATTACAAAAGTGAGCCTACCTGAATAGGGTTCCGGGCATAATGTGAGGGAAATCGAAGTTGGCCCAACTAACCCTGCAAGTTCCCAGCCCACGCACTTGACGAACAGTGGGAGAGGAATGCAATCGCAATTACCTTCACCGCCCTAAACCACTCTGTCCAATTTGTCGGCAGAACTGAAACTCATCCACCACACCTCCCCGTCGCCACACCTCCAAAAACATCGAGGCACAGAGACGCACTCTGACTCAAAGACTAGGGGAACCCATAGTAGGCGGACCGAAAATCACAAGCCAGACTGCCAGCGACGCCACCACTGTAGCTCGTATACGAACAGGGCGGTGTGAGTGGCAACCATTTCAGCTGGCATCTACTGCTGTACCGGCCTTCCACCCAACCTAGCCACGACCAACAATACGCGTGAGTCCAACAATATAGTTTACTGGTCGTTAGGGTGATGAGGAAGGTGGAACGACAAAAAAGAGAGAGAACTGCTGGATGGTAGATTGGGCACAATACGAGACAGGAAGGCGGAACGATTAAGGAGAATGCGGTGTAACAGACAGCATGGCGGAGTTAATTAGGGGCAGGCAAAATGGGAGATAGCACGGCCGAACAAGGAAGGGGAAGGTGGAATGAGAGATATCAAGCGGAACAGAGCAACGTCAAGGCGGCATGGGGTGTGAAATGCGGAGTGAGAGGGTAAATGCAGCACGAGAGGGGAAATGAGGAATGAAAGGGGAAATGCGGCACTGGAGGGGAAATGCAGAATGATAGGGGAAATGCGGAATCCACACGGGGAAGCGCGAAAATAGAGGGGGAAGGCAGAAGTAGTGGGGGAAGGCGGATAGAGAGGGGGAAGACAGAATGAGAGTGGGGAGGCGGAATGGGAGAGGGGAAGTCGGAATGAAATGAGGGGAAGTCGGAATGAGAGGGAGGGAAACTCTGACTGAGAGGGAGGGGAAATCGGAATGAGAGGGAGGGGAAGTCGGGATGGTGAATGAGGGAGGGGAAGGCGGGATGAGGGAGAGGAATGAGGAATGAGGGAGGGGAAGGCGGGTTGAGGGAGAGGAATGAGGAATGAGGGAGGGGAAGGCTGGTTGAGGGAGAGGAATGAGGAATGAGAGAGGGGAAGGCAGGATGAGGGAGAGGAATGAGGAATGGGGGAGCGGAAGGCGGGATGAGGGATGGGAATGAGGAATGGGGGAGGGGAAGGCAGGTTGAGGGAGAGGAATGAGGAATGAGAGAGGGGAAGGCGGGATGAGGGAGGGGAATGAGGAATGAGGGAGGGGAAGGCAGGTTGAGGGAGAGGAATGAGGAGTGAGGGAGGGGAAGGCTGGTTGAGGGAGAGGAATGAGGAATGAGGGAGGGGAAGGCAGGATGAGGGAGAGGAATGAGGAATGGGGGAGCGGAAGGCGGGATGAGGGATGGGAATGAGGAATGGGGGAGGGGAAGGCGGGTTGAGGGAGAGGAATGAGGAATGAGAGAGGGGAAGGCGGGATGAGGGAGAGGAATTAGGAATGGGGGAGGGGAAGGCGAAATGAGGGAGGGGAATGAGGAATGGGGGAGGGAAATGCAGAATAAGGGAGGGGAGTGCGGAGTAAAGAAGCAACATTCAGAATGAGGGAGGGGACGGCATGCCGAGAGAGGGGAAGGCGGAATGAGGGAGGGGAATTCGGAATGAGACTGGGGGAGGGCACGGAATGAGGGAGGCGAGGTCGGAATGATTCATGGGAATTCAGAATGAGGGAGGAGGATGTGGAAGAAAAGGGAGGGGGAGACGGAAGCAGGGCAGGAAGGTGGATTGAGGGGGAGGAGGGCGGAATGAGGGAGAGGAAGGCGGAATGAGGGAGGGAAAGGCGGTATGATGGTGGGAAGTACTTGAGGGATGAGATGAGATGGTGGGGGATGAGGAACAAGGGGGGGGGGGGGGCGCGGGGAGGGGGGTGTGGCACAAAGGCAGCAAAAGAGATGGGATGACTCTACCAGCGAGCGCATGCAAAGCCAGCCACCTCTATGCAAACGAAGCATGGTTGGCGGAAACGCAGGAGGGGGGTTGAGCATGAGGTGGGGGACGACGGAATGACAGATGGTATGGTTGAAAGATAGAGGGTAAAGTGGGATGACCCATAGGAATGCCACACGGACGGAGGGGGTGGTAGAATGAGAGTAGTTCCGGGTGGTGGCCTGAGAGCGTTCGAATGCAAAATGAGAGAGGTTGTTTCGAAAGAAAAATGGGCACGCGGAATAGGAGAGCAGAAGGCGAAATGGGAGTGGGGGAAGGGGAGAAGGGAAGGCAGATCGAGTGCGGGATGGATGTGTCCGAGGAATGGTTAGGGCAGCGAAATGAGAGAAGTTGAGGGAACGGGAAAGGGAGGGCAGCATGGACAACCATCTCCATATGTGATCCCCCGTCATCCCAACCCCTTACCATGAAACACAACAGGTGTCTGGGTTATAGCAGTCTCGTGAAGATTCAAGCGGTATGCATCGTCTAACGACAAATAGGGGTAGGGCGGGCGAACGGCAAAACCATGCACATGGTGAGCGCGGGGCTGAAGCAGGATTAAATCCAACATCCCTCCCCCTACCACGGTGAGCTACAACAGCTAGCCAACTTTTAGCTACCCCCACATTGTAGAGGGGCGTGTAGGCCTAACTTGGCATGGCAAATGGTGCGGGAAGTGTAATCTCACCAAACCTATTAGCTGCCGCATAG